CTCTGGGAATGTGGAAATTTAAAATTTGTGAAGCGTCATCAGTTTGTTAAGATTGTCACCGTCCGTTGCCTCAAGAGGATTTAGACGCTTCTGCTTCAGCGATACATTGTTGACCTATCAATATCCGCTTATTTGATCATATTTTGAAGGAGCGATTCCCATAAGTATTCCCGATTAGTTATTTGTTTCACTACAATAATGGCAGACATACAATCTCTACGACACCATGGAGTGAAGGTGTGGTGCTTTACTGGATTAGCACTCCTACAATTTCAATGCCTATATCTACCTATTGTCAGATCTTTAGAAGCTCAATAAACAACATGATGAATTTCTGCGCCTGCCACAATTAGTTTTAACATCACTGAAATTACCTATGATGGCAACTTTTCTGAACTCAGAATATAAGCTCGAGCATGATTTGGAGGGTTGTTGAGATTAGGTATTCATTCAATTTTAAAGATGAACGTAAAATGATTAAACATCCACTGTCATTTTTACAACTGTTGCTCAGAAAGTCAGTAAAGGCTTTTCTAGTGAAGATGAAGCCTCCGCTTATATATTGTGGAAAAATTGAACATACACAGGATAAAAGAGTAATACCTAATAATTTATTGAATCAATTTATCTGAACTCAGAATATAAGCTCGAGCATGATTTGGAGGGTTGTTGAGATTAGGCATTCATCTATATATTTAATATCCTAAGGCCTTTTTTGGCCTCCAACAGTTTGTGCTAATTCGATCTCGGAAACTACTGGACCGATTTTCCTCGGATTTGTTTTAAATGAAAGCTCTTAGGCTGTAGACGTGCCAACATTCCTTAGTTTTTCGATTTGCACGACCGACGTTGCAAAATTTACCTCGATTTGATAACGACATGCTTGCGTTTTTGACGTTGTACAGTTTGTGCTAATTCGATCTCGGAAACTACTATACCGATTTTGCTCGGATTCGTTTTGAATGAAAGCTTTTAGGCTGTAGACGTGCCAACATTCCTTAGTTTTTCAATTTGCGCGACCGACGTTGCAAAATTTACCTCGATTTGATAACGAAATATTTTCGTCTTTGCCGCTGGACGAGTCATAAGATTGGGGGACCTCCCACCCTCTGATTTTCCGTTTCCCTCTCCAGGTAAACCCATCCCTATCTGCCGTTAGTACGTGTCACCCTTCTGCTCTGGCATGGGTCCTTTGTCAGTATCACTCCCTTTCTTATGCCGTCTGACTCGGAACACCTACTACGCATTTCCTCCGTCGAATTGCTCATAATCAGTTTTCGGTTTGTCCAGGTTTCTCAGTAGTGCGTCTAGAGTTTTGCTTTCATAATTTTATCATTATAGTTTTTTTTACATGAAAATTACTTAATTTTGATGTGTATTTTTCAGAAGATAATTTTCCTTTTTACGGCAGCACAGGTTTTATTAATAATTAACTTTTTTACAGCAGCTCGTGTGTTCTTCCAAGAGAATCTGTGATTAATGTTCACCCTTTCGCACCGTTAAATTTTCACAAAGTGTTTTGATTTTCTTTTCAAGGAGTGTTTTTTATTTTTCAAAGATGTTTCTTTTTCTAGAAGTAGGTGGTTATCATTATCAGTTTCTTATTCTTTGTTTTTGAATTTATCATTTTTTTATCATTTAAAATTTTCCTGGAAGTCCTCTAATTACTCGTAGTAGCAAAATTTGGCTCGCGAAGCGAGCCAACATTCACTCGCGGAGCGAGTGACTGGGGGTCCAGGGGGCGAAGCCACCGGCTAGCGGCGCAAGCGAGCGTAGCGAGCTGAAGCAGCTAGTTCAATTTTAAAGATGAACGTAAAATGATTAAACATCTACTGTCATTTTTCCAACTGTTGCTCAGAAAGTCAGTAAAGGCTTTTCTAGTGAAGATGAAGCCTCCGCTTATATATTGTGGAAAAATTGAACATACACAGGATGAATGCACAGGAATTTATTGAATCAATTCATAGTGGAAAAATGAAGTATAGCTTGTGAAAATGGCGCCAACATGAAATTCAAGTTCAATCGAAAATATGCGCATAAACAGCGCCAAAATCGGAAAGTTTGATTTCCCGCGGAAGTCGGGTTACAGCGCCCGCATAAACCCGACGGAGGAAACTTGCATTACCAACTCGGGTTTCGTGAAACCCCGGTTTCGAGCCTCGCATAAACGTAGCTACTGTTTTCATGTGTTTTTCGTGTGCTATTCGTAGATATGCTCGTTTAAATTGTTACTGCCGCATAATTGAAATTTTTGTCAAATTTAGCTTCTCATCGATGTTACGGTGAGCCACCATCTTGTTTATTTATTTACGGCCCTTAGAGCATCATGAAGCCTAAAAACTCGTTGACCAATCAAAAAGCGGAACAGTTTTCCTGTAGAAAAAAGAAAAAGATACGAATGGCCATACTCTTGTCTATAAAGGCACTCTAGTCAACAGTCATCGCCCAACGGCTGAAATTTAGCAAATTCGAGTCATTTACATCCAGATGTGTATCAAATCTACTCGAATAGTTCAGACAAATTCAAAATTGGTCCGAAGGTTGCTGAGAATCGTTGCTGAATTTTGTGCGTCACGCGCAAAATTCAGCCATCGGGCCGATGACTTCCACATTCAAGCCACATTCAGCTCCCACATTCAGCGTGTGATTGCGGTGTGACTCGGTGTGAGGTTATGCACATCTTACATCATCCTGTGATAAAGGTGAAAGGCAATTTAACAATGTTTTCATGTGTTTTTCGTGTGCTATTCGTAGATATGCTCGTTTAAATTGTTACCGCCGCATAATTGAAATTTTTGTCAAATTTAGCTTCTCATCGATGTTACGGTGAGCCGCTGAAGCCTAAAAACTCGTTGGCCAATCAAAAAGCGGAACAGTTTTCCTGTAGTAAAAAGATACGAATGGCCATACTCTGTCTGTAAAGGTACTCTAATGGTCCTGAGCGGGGCAGAAGTTAATTTGAATCATTTTGATTAGATTTCAACGCTGGTGCTGAGTCAATGTCGTTGATCGGAGTATTAAACGATTTGAACTTGTGGAGGTTGTATGAAGTATGCTAGGTTGTTCTTTTGGACAGTGTCGCCAGTTTGGTGGCGAGAAGTTTTCTTGATAGATGAGTTGTAGGTAGCTACAGATCTCCAGTGTCAGCGGCGAAGAATATGTTGAGAATATGATTCCTTTTTAGTCGCCTTGGGATTGTGCTGTTGTCTGATATTGACAAGGCAAGATGATTTTGATGATTAGCGAGTCTGAGGCAGTGATGATGTGTCCTGGTTTGGACGTACTGTTTCACAAATGGAATCTGGGAATTCGCATGGATTACATCAATAAAATGGTAGATGTGGCAATTTGTTAGCAGTCGCAGAAATTTGTTTTGGGCGGTTTGGATTAGCTTGAGGTTAGAATTGGCGGTTGTGCAACCGTGCAACATATCTGGCAACCATAGGACCAAACTGGGCGGATGATCATTTTGTAGAGAATTAACTTTGATGATGTCGGAAGTTTGCTGGCAAATATCCATTTATATTGCCTAAATAGGAAATTGAGTTGTTTGTGTTTGGCAATTAAATGGGCTCTCCATGTGAGCCGTGGGTCAAGATGTAGCCCAAGGTACTCAGCAGACTTTTTTTGGGGGATTGTAACTCCACTTAATAGAACAGGTGGAAGAATGCCTGTGCGGAGGGTAAAGCATATCATGACTGACTTTTTTGGGTTGAAATTGATTCGCCAGATTGTGCTCCACTGATGGAGAGCATTCATTGCTATCTGCAGTCTAGCGGATACAATTTCCAGATTGGAGTGAGAGGCTAGATATCCCGTATCATCGACAAAAGTTGCTGGTACTGTTTTATGGGTGGTTGGTAGATCATAAGTATAGATTATTTAGTTATGAGGGTGATTAGCAACGGTTTGATGGCGTGGTCTCACTGTGCAATTCTTACATCGGTCAAGTAGGTCCAAAATTTAGGCAGATTTTAAATTTCGAGCCAAATCTGAATAGAAGTCCCAGCACATGAGCTTAAAGAATTACTCTATGCCGAAAATTGGTGAATTACAGAGAAATGAAAGCAAGATCCTTTTCAGAAGAAATCCTAACACTTGATATTGAAATCGATAACTATGTCAGGTGCCAGCTTTATCCTGACAAGGATCTTACTTTCATTTCTTTGAATATTCCCAAATTCGTGATTTGGAATGATTCCTCAAGCTCCTGCGTAAGGTCATTTGTTGTCTTTTAGACTAAAAATTCAAATATACGCAGAGTGACGTAATCAGAGACATAGAAACAAAGGACTAGGAGCAAAAAATGAAGCCACTCTCCGATTGGCTGGACGATCGTCGGCAAAATGGGGACAAGTTTGAAGTTCAAATGAAGGCCAGGAACTAAATAAAATTGCTGAACCAAAGCACTCTAGGTTGATTCTTGCTCAAATTCACTTGCCCACATATATTTCTCCAGCTTCGTTATTTTTTCTCCGTCATTGCCCGATTAATCTCATTTGGGAATAACAATCATCTAGGACTGTCCCAGCCTGTTTGGACTGGTAGGACCACCATGAGCAACAGAAAAACTAACTTCATCTAAGATACTTGCTTGATACCAAGCCAAAGTAGATTCACCATGAAAAATCACCATCCCACCTTTATTGCATACTATGTGAGGCATTTAAACAAGTTAGAACAAGAAATGTGCAAAAATCAAGAGGAAAAGTTATATTCAAATTCTTAATTGCTCTGCATCAATTACCTCGCTCAGTACACATCACACAGGCACACGGCACCAGAGCAGCTTCACTTCTCCTGCTTTTAGATACGAGTACTCCGTATTTTGTCTGAACATAGTTGATACGATATATTACATGCCAATTTGACCACGTCAGATACCTCGACAAATCACCTTCATTGCAGCATAGCTTTGCAGATGAAACAACATTTTAAAGGCGGCACTCCTGATAAAGAAGACTTTGTGACCACACAATGATAATCACGCTGTAACTTACCATATTCCCATGGGTTGGCAGGTTCAAGAAAGCCCGAGACAATTTGACTTTCATCAGCAGGAAAAGATACGTTCCTGACAATCGATGCTCCTCTAAAATTTCCATCCTGATTGTTTCGGAGACATGATGAGGGCACTGAGGAAGATCGCAGTGCCAGATGCCTATCAATGTTGGAGGAGCTGTTTTGGTAGGTGTCACTCATAGTAACAGTCCTAGATTATAAACATGCTCAAAGAATTATCATCTTTGGAAAGAACGTGAACTAAATAGAGTGTAACGAAAGAGAACTTAAAGGCGGGGAATTAGATGCAAAATCTCACGGACACCCTCTGATCAGGCAAGATTTCAAGAGGATTAGATTAGAGCCACTCAGTCAGAAAGTACACGATTTGGAGAGGTGATTCCTCTGTAATGTTTTAATTCATTCACTGAAGTCAGTGGTTTTGGTGCTTTAGCTGCCTTCGGCACTGATGGCACGCCAAGGGTGAATTAAACGGCCGTCACTAAACTGGTAAAAGTGAGCAGTAACAATGCAAAACACTGAAGACTAAACTGAGATAATCCTCCAGTATCGTGGTAATGATTGTAAATGAGAATCAGCTGATGAGGGGTTGCGTCCCTCTTTCATCACGACCTTGCCATGGACCAAGAGAATAAATAAGGACCCCCGACTCCCAATTTAAACCCGTGTTAAAAACCGTTACCGCGCGACTGCAGCGAGCCTGGCAGAGGGTGCGGTGAACTAACGCCACAGCGGTCCACGATCCTTAGTCCATGCAAAGCAAAATGCAAAGACAATATTTTATTATTGAATCACGTGGACCGTGCGTCCGGCTCGGTTTCGTACTATTGGCGGAGCGAAGCAAGTCTCTCAGACTAGGCCTACATCATAGAGTACAATAGAGTCGCAAAGTACTGGATCGCCGATGAAGTCACTTTTCGAGGCTGTTTTGTCTAGAGTCCCTTTATACCTAGAGTAACGACAACTCGATTATCAGCTGACTGGCAGCCGACCTTGGCTGGCCATGGAGGCCGAAACTAGTGCACTCAAACGAACGATATTGAGGGATAAGGATCAGGAATCCTGCGATGTCTGTCACACAAAAACAACAACATCAACAAATTGATCAATTAAAACGAAAATTAGATTGGTTTGTGAATAATTTCTTAATCTATTTTCATTTTAGACCGATGGAAATAACAATTTACTCTTGATAAACCACAATTAGGTAATATTTTCATTATTCTTGTTCACATTCGAGGTACCGTCATTTTGGTGCACTAGTTTCGGCCTCCATGAAGCGTCCAGCCCACATACAAACCAGAGGCTTCAAAGAGACTCATCGATTGCCCCGACTTAAACCGCTGGCCAATGAGAGGGCCGGGAAAGGCATCGATGAGTCTCTTTGAAGCCTCTAGTTTGTATGTGGGCTGGACGCTTGAGCGAGAACCAATCAGAATTGGATTTTTTTTTAGGCCACTTTCAGCCCAGTCCTGGCCCAACCAAAAGTGAGTTGTCGTAACTCTGGGTATAAAGGGACTCTACTTTTGTCCAGTTCTCCGGAGACTAGTGTGCGGCGACTAGCGACGACGCATACGCAGAGACTCGCGCTCAGCGCTCCCCACCATGGACCAAGAGAATAAATAAGGACTCCCAACTCCCTATGCTAACCTGTGTTAAAAACCGTTAACGCGCGCTCGCAGCGAACCTGGCAGAGGGTGCGGCGAACTAACGCCACAGCGGTCCACGATCGTACCTCTATAGTATGTTATTCCATGCAATGTTCTTTGTTTATCTATGATTTATTTATTTGTGTAGATACTTTAATACATTTTACTTTCGCAAACTAATGAAATTGTATAGATACATACCTTCTGCAGAGGTCAATGCAAAAGACTTTGATTTGAAGTATCTCATCAAAACACGAGCAAAGATGATTCAGTCAACTTCTGACGCAGAATCAAAGAGACTTGCTAATAATCAAATTAAAGGTAATGCTTGAAGTCAAGTATCTTTGATTTTGTGACACTCAGTTGATTTTTATCCGTACAACACTATTTCTCACTAAAAAGATTTCACTTAACAGAGAGGCGCCTTCGGCTAAAAGTACAATCCTGATTCCTGCTGCACACTACATACACACTTCCTTTGGCTTTCTCAACAGCAGTTGCTGCTGAGTAAAACGGTTAGAAATAACACTTCACATTAATACCAGTTTATGTACACGAAGACTGACGAAGATTGAAATGAAAATGGGAAACTTTTCACACTGAACTCTTCAAAACTGCAGGGCGACCACGAGGATACGAGGATCTAGAAACTTCTATGAGCACTAGAGTACCTGTATAGGGAGAGTAGCGACAGATCTGAAACTCCGAAAGTCCATCAGGCCTTCACCGATGCCTCCGCGAATAAAGTTAGGGCCCAAAAGGGCAGCCAACCTATGAATTTCGAATGTCCAGAGCGATTTACAAATACAATTGTTACGAACCGTCGTTTAGAAAGCATGTACCTATTTGGTTTACTTTTTGCATAAATTTACTTATTTTTGCGAAAGAACGCTCTTTTATGTACATTCTTAGCCATCTTGGTTAGAATTGAAATCTGTAGGCTGGCAGTGAAATTTTGTGTGTTAGAAGTTGCTCAGAAGGGTGGCTGCACTTTTGGGCCCTGAGCCCTCCATGAACCGATCTGTCGCTACTCTCCCTATACAGGTACTCTAATGAGCACTACTGAGTGATAAGCCTAAATAGGTGGTGCATGGAAATATAAACAGGAAGACCCAATCATCGGTTTAGTTCACTACACCCTCTGCCAGGGAGCGCTGATGTCAGCGCTAACAGGAGTTGGGGGTCCTTATTTATTCTCTTGGTCCATGTCCCCACCTCCCCACTCGCGACTCGGCTCCGTTCGTCGGCTAGGTCCACACACATTGGATAGAGTCTCTTTATACCCAGAGTAACGACAACTCGATTATCAGCTGACTGGCAGCCGACCTTGGCTGGCCATGGAGGCCGAAACTAGTGCACTCAAACGAACGATATTGGGGGATAAGGATCAGGAATCCTGCGATGTCTGTCACACAGAAACAACAACATCAACAAATTGATCAATTAAAAAGAAAATGAGATTGGTTTGTGAATAATTTCTTAATCTATTTTCATTTTGGACCGATGGCAATAACAATTTACTCTTGATAAACCACAATTAGGTAATATTTCCATTATTCTTGTTCACATACGAGGTACCGCCATCTTGGTGCACTAGTTTCGGCCTCCATGAGCGAGAACCAATCAGAATTGGATTTTTTTTTTAGGCCACTTTCAGCCCAATCCTGGCCCAACCAAAAGTGAGTTGTCGTAACTCTGGGTATAAAAGGACTCTAACATTGAACCCAGCCAAGTAGGCCGGTAATAAGTTTGAAATTGAGTCCATATATGAATATTATCCAGGAGTAACATACATTAATGGATTCATTATGGCTTTGGATATCTATTTAAAGCAAAATTTGTACAAATTAATACCGATGGAATTAAAAAAAGTCGAAAAAATACAAGCAGTCCTTGATTTCTCCATAAGCCACCGTGTTAAAAAATTCCGGTTGGTTCACACTTGGTACAAGTCAGAAATTAAATCCCTGTATGAATATTATCCAGGAGTAATATACATCAATGGATTCATTATGGCTTTGACTATCTAATTATAGCAAAATTTGCACAAATTAATATCGATGAAATTAAAAAATGTCGAAAAAACACAGGCAGTCGTTGCTTTTCCTGTAAGCCGCCGTGATGAGAAATGCCGGTTGGTTCACACTTGGTATAAGTCAGAAATTAAAACCCAATATGAATATTATCCAGAAGTAATATACATCAATGGATTCATTATGGCTTTGACTACCTTTAAATAGCAAAATTTGCAAAAATTAATGCTGATTGAATTATAAAATACCTAAAAAACACAAGCAGTTCTTGATCTCTCCATAAGCCGCCGTGTTACAAAATGCCGTTGGGTTCACAAATGGTTCACACTTTTCGGAGCACACGCGGCTCGGAAACGCCTGTTCATGGATTGGCTTCATCGGCGCTCTAGTACTTTGCGAGTCTATTGTACTCTATGAGCAAAAGTGCCGCGGTCGAGCAAACAGGGCGTTGTTGTTGTTGAAAGCAGTCGTCAGAATCCGACCAATCAGAGATGAGTTGCGACATGGACCAAGAGAATAAATAAGGACCCCCAACTCCGGTTAGCGCTGACATCAGCGCTCCCTGGCAGAGGGTATAGTGAACTAAACCGACGATTGGGTCCTCCTGTTTATATTTCCATGCACCACCTATTTAGGCTTATCAATCACTCAGTAGTGCTCATAAAAGTTTCTAGATCCTCGTATCCTCGTGGTCGCCCTATAGTATTGAAGGGTTTAGTCAGGGACGAGTTCTATAGGACGCCGTTCTGTTGTGAGCGGGTGATTGCAGCGCATTCTCGCGTAGGATCCTAGTCAACTCAGAGGATCCTTCCCCCCGAACCTCGACTCATCCATCGCCCGCTCCAAAAGTGAGGTTAAGCCGGAGATTGAAAAATAACACATAAGGCGGCTGAATTTTTGAAAAATAAGTATATTTTTGGCGTTTTTCGACCCCTTACGACAAGAAGTGCCTTGCCGAATGTAATAATGCGGTGAAAAATTCGATATTTTGCAGTTATACGCGATCCTACGGATTTTAATAGAGTCCCTTTATACCCAGAGTTACGACAACTCACTTTTGGTTGGGCCAGAATTGGGCTGAAAGTGGCCTAAAAAAAAATCCAATTCTGATTGGTGAGAACCAATCGCTCATGGAGGCCGAAACGAGTGCACCAAGATGGCGGTACCTCGAATGTGAACAAGAATAATGAAAATATTACCTAATTGTGGTTTATCAAGAGTAAATTGTTATTGCCATAGGTCCAAAATGTAAATAGATTAAGAAATTATTCACAAACCAATCTCATTTTCTTTTTAATTGATCACTTTGTTGATGTTGTTGTTTTTGTGTGACAGACATCGCAGGATTCCTGATCCTTATCCCTCAATATCGTTCGTTTGGGTGCACTCGTTTCGGCTTCCATGGCCAGCCAAGGACGGCTGCCAGTCAGCTGATAATCGAGTTGTCGTAACTCTGGGTATAAAGGGACTCTAGATTTTAATGAAGTCCAACAACTGATAACAGCAGTGAGTTGCGAGGATCCTACGCGAGATAGCAGCACTAGTACCTTCTCACGAATTTTTATATTGACTCTTACGGGAGTCCAGGGTCCTACAGAACTGGTCCCTGGTTTAGTGTGAAAAGTTTCCCATTTTTATTTCAATCTTCGTCAGTCTCCGGGTACATAAACTGGTAATAATAGCTACGTTTATGCGAGGCTCGAAACCGGGGTTTCACGAAACCCGAGTTTGTAATGCAAGTTTCCTCCGTCGGGTTTATGCGGGCGCTGTAACCCGACTTTCGCGGGAAATCAAACTTTCCGATTTTGGCGCTGTTTATGCGCATATTTTCGATTGAACTTGAATTTCATGTTGGCGCCATTTTCACAAGCTATACTTCATTTTTCCACTATGAATTGATTCAATAAATTATTAGGTATTACTCTTTTATCCTGTGTATG